GTTTACCATGCCTCAAACTGAATACGTTTAAAAGGAAAGATTTTTCTATCAAAAACACGCGGAACTTTAGCGCTTTTATTTTAGATACAAACTTCTTCACAGTATAATGTGCAGTGATTTTAGAATTATTTGCAACATTTCCAATATTTATAAGACCACCATCAACTACAATAATTGTACCTCTCCATAATTTCTGTAAGTTATTTATTATCATATGCTCCATCTCGAAATCAAATAAACTAAAGTGTTCACAATATTTTAATACATGTCACACAAAAAGAGACTTAGAATAAAAATCATATCAAATCCTCGTGTCAAGCGCAGCAGAAATGATTTCCGTTTCACAATTACATTTGCGAATTCTTTGTTGCTGTCCAACTTCTGTAGAAAATCTCCACATTCCCCTTTGCTTGCACGTAATATGCAGCAAAGACTGCAGAAAATGGCAGTTCTGCGAGTTCGTATTTGAAATTTTATAACTCATCCACGAAGCCTTGAGGTGTATCCGCTTCTGAAATGCTTCCGTATTCTGTAATTCGTAACACTTGCTGAGTGCAAAACTTGCACACTTGCAGTGGAAAACTACGTCTAAAAGAAATGAAATAGACTGACAAGAGATAAAGCATTGAATTAATGCATTTCTAAAATTCTTGCAATTTTCTTCTCCACCATTGAGAAATATGACAGTTTACAATGCATTTAAAATTTTCATATGTTTTATTGAAGAACAAACCCAAGAACAGTATCTCGTTTCGTTATGAAACATTAATAACAACAATGGTGGTCTCCACAGTTGGTGTCCTAACAAATGGTCTTCTTATTGTTGTTATTGTGAGGGATCCTTTAAACAAACTAAGACGAGGACCGTGGATTACCATCTTAAGCTTATCTATAGCAGACATCACTGCATCTTTGTCCCAATTCATGATTGTTGGATTGGGTAGATTGTTCGAGGTCAAACCATCAGAAGCTGTCATTTATTCTGTCCTTTTCTTTTGGATGTTTGGGGCTGCGGGCTCATTTTTTCACTTGACATCACTCACATGGCAAACTTACATAATTGCAAAGTATCCCATACGTTGCCGACAGATGTTGTCTACAAGAAAAATATACAAATTATGTGCTACTGTTTGGTTGATTGCCATTTGCATGGCATTTGGTGAACTCACATCAATTTACACCAAGAAAAATGAACATCTTATGTACACCTATATCACACTATATGCTGTCTTGGAAATCGCTGTTTTACTTCAGATCATATTGAAGTGTTTCATACTTAAGGTTGTATTGCAAAGTCGACAAGACACTAAAGTAAATGCTGAACAGCACAACACTAAACACCTTGAAATTGTAAAGACAATCATTGTGCTGAATGTCTTATTACTGGTAACTGCATTTCCTTTTTTTGTCGCCAAACAAGTGGAGTTTATTCAAAGGCTAGGGAAACTACAAAGTGAATTGGCTTGGCGCTTTTCGTATTACTATAAGCCAGTGGCCATGGTGAATTTTGCTGTCAATCCAATTGTGTATGCACTGAGGCTTCCAGATTATCGAAACAGTATGAAGGCGTTGTTTAGAAAGAAGAATACTGTTTTTACTCCAACATCCAAGTCAACGACCTTTTCCTTCCGGCCCACCAATGAAACATTTGCGATGTAACTACATTCATCGTTCATAACTTTATGATTAATATATAAATTTTTTATTTGGGTATAGTATAGGTAATATTAGCATAGTTTTAAAGGGAAGATGAAAGAAAAAGAAACTATCAAGATTTGTAGCGAGATTTAAATCGACTAAAATTTAAAGCCAACTTTTTGACTTTTTTTTTCATGAGAAAGATAAGCAGTATAATACTTTTTTAACGGTACATATCATTAATCAAATAAACCTTGGACTTAGAGACGTTACAGATTTACTTAATGCTTCGATAAAAATTTGAAAGAAAAAATGAGTCTTGCTTGTTTGTTAAGTTTTCTAAGCAGTCTTGCTTGTTGAAAAAATGACAACAAACTTACTTCATAAATCGGCTGCTACTTGGTGGTTATATTGGAAAACAAAACTTCGGTATAAACAGAACTTCGTTCCATCGTTCAAAGATTAAGTTGATCTGTTCAAAATAAAGAAAATGTGTACGCAGCTAACGTACATTCGCAAGTGCACGGACAGCTTAAATATAGAATCCTTTCAACACAGGCATATGAGCCAAAAGAAACAATAACGATGAACCATAAAAATGAAATTTGCGTAGTTTTTATTCTACTTGCGTTATGATGAAAAGTTTGCTTACACAAAAAATTCTTGTGATGACCCAAAGCACAAACTTACATTGTGTGCTGAAACAGGAAATTTTGCTATAGCATTTATTAGTATGTTATTCTTAAAATTGAACGAATTTATGTTTTGAAATATGACAAATCAAGATACCTACAACAAAGACTTTGCTAAGAATTCTCAATAACATGAGACCACCCCGGGCCCTGGTAAAGCCATAACTCTTTAATACAACAAGACGTTCTGTACACAGATGAAATTTATTTTGGTGAGTGAATCAGTTCACTGCAATAATGAAGAAAGTAGAATTCAATACATAATGTGGAGTGACATTCGTTTCACTTTCTACATCAATATACAGCCAATTATTCATTTTCGTCTTTGTCAGTACTTCCTGTATACGTGACAAGTTTGTGTACATCATCATGATGCCCAGCCCAAGTTTTGAAGTAGTCGGACGTAGCCGTTAAGCCACTTCGGTGGTCAACATCAACCCAGAAGAATATTTGTTTTGTCTGTTTCAAAACACCAGATACATAAACACGATCTTAATTTACCATACCATACAAGACATTTTATTTTGCTATCAATTGAGTATTTGTGAGAAGAAGAGTTAAGAACGCATCACACGACGAACGCGAAAGTCGTTTTTTTATAACATCCAAACTTATTGTAAGAAGGCCAGCAGACGACAAAGAAGTTAGTCTTGGAGGTATATAATAATTATTATTTGTAATAGCAGGATTACGGCGTTTTACCAAACCTTGTCGTTCGTTTGAGCTGATAGTACGATTAATAAAACATTTCGACATGTGGTTTATCGAATCCCTTCAAACCAAATTTTAGTCATCGATTCATGTAATTACCAGACTTTGTACACTTCAAATTAGATTTTTGTATAAGTAAATTATATTACTTTTTTAGACAGGTGGAACCCGGCGTACATTTCCTTACATAAAATCAATTTCTAAGGTCACGCTATGGTACCTGTACAATATGTTTATAGATACGTTGTTTTATATGTTTGTTGAATATATATCCAGTGCCAGTGGTCAAAGCTAGCGACAATTCTATCAAAATGTGCAATTCGACTAAAATAGATCAAGTAAATTGTACAAGGAATTCCTCCGTTTCGCAAAATAATACAAAAGTATATATCAAATAAAAGTATTATAAGTCATGAAAATAAACTTTGTTGACTGCAAAGAGAAATGCATTCAAAGAAATACATACAAGCATGCGAGAAAAACGTACACTCGTTTTCTCTTTTGTATTACACAACAACGTTACATGCAGTGATTTTATCATGAAATTTGACATTTTGAGAATGAGCAAAATTATTATGTGCAGTTCATTTAATTAGCATTTTGTGGCTTCAAGGTAAGCTGTAAAGATAAACATTGCTATACATAGTTATTTGGCAAAATCAAATAATCTTATGATAAAACATGCATAAAATGATTTCACCAATATCTTCGAATACGAACGAAAAATATCAAAAAGATTCTCATATTGCTTACACAAACCAGACTTCTAAAAAATGCTGAAAGTCCAGTTTCAAATATCAATCTTTTCACAAAACTTTGAATGTTTGAAATCGCTCTCACTATTTATACGATTTTGAATAAAACGTATGCGTCATCAAAGTGATTCTTACAGGAAAAGATCTATCCACAATTGTAGATTTTTAATGTGTTATGTAAATCAATTTCTCTAGTTGCTTCAGTAGAGTGCCTTCACAGTAATGATCGAAGAAAATTCATCAAGCAACTAGTTCATGATTCTCAGTGTACGACTGCAAAAATTACCATTTATCTATGTGCAATTATGAATGTATATGAAAACATTTGACGTCTTTTCCTCTTTCTATATTTCATATGAAACCCATGAAGAGTTTTTCACTTGGCTATGAAACATTAATAACAAGGATGGTGGTCTCCACAATTGGTGTCCTAACAAATGGTCTTCTTGTTGTTGTTATTCTTGTAGATCCTTTAACATACTAAAATAAGGAAGGTGGATTACCATCTTATGCTTATCTATAGCTGATTTCACTGCATCTTTGTCTCAATTCATGATTGTTGGATTGGGTAGATTGTTCGAGGTCAAACCATCAGAAGCTGTCATTTATTCTGTCCTTTTCTTTTGGATGTTTGGGGCTGCGGGCTCATTTTTTCACTTGACATCACTCACATGGCAAACTTACATGATTGCAAAGTATCCCATACGTAGCCGACAGATGTTATCTACAGAAAAATATACATATTATGTGCGACTGTTTGGTTGATTGCCATTTGCATGGCATTTGGTGAACTCACATCAATTTACATCAAGAAAAATGAACAGCTTATGTACACCTATATCACGCTATTTGCTGTTTTGGAGATTGCTGTTTTCATCTTGGTTATTGGGAAGTGTTTAATACTTATAATAGTATGGCAAAATCGACAAAACACGACAGTAAATGCTAAACAGCACAATAGAAAACATCTGGAAATGGTAAAGACAACTATCTTGCTAAATATCCCTTTACTGGTAACTGCGTTTCCTTATTTTGTCGCTAAACAAGTGGAGTTTATTCAAAGGCTTGGAAAAATACAAAGTGAATTGGCTTGGCGCTTTTCTTACTACTACAACCAGTTGCCATGGTGAATTTCGCAGTCAATCCAATTGTGTATGCACTGAGGCTTCCGATTATCGAAACAGTCTGAAGGCGTTGTTTACAGCACAGCAATCGACAACCTCGTTCCATTCTGCTGATGAAACGATTGCTTTGTAGATAATATGCATTGATTAATATGCATTGATCATATATAACTTGATTACAAATATATATAATGATTATTTTTTTAATATAGGTAATAACATAAACTTTAGTGGAATTTGTAGTTATACTTTTGTGTAATTTTTAGTGTAATGTTTGTATTTGTAGCCAATTTTGCCTGCAACAAACTATTTTGATAACCACATCAAAACATAGTACAATATCGTATCTAATAATACGTTGTCCTCCTTGCTGCTTATTTACATCTTTACGAAGAAATTCTCTACATTGAATTTAGCGTGAGCAGAAGCTTTGTGTAACAGGTAAAACTTGGCAGCTTTGTTGCATCGAAAATTTCACAAGAAAAAGCAAGTTGCCCTTACAGACTTAACTTCTTTCAAAATGGCAGAACGTTTTTCATTGATAAAACAGCATGGTCAGCAATCAGCATGTATTTGAAAATTCAGGCAGAATCGTTTTTAATTATACTTTATAGTTTGCAAGAAAAAGTATGTTTAACAATCTATCGATATGTAGCATTTTATCTGCACTAGCAAAAAGAGGAAGGCAGAAATGAGCATAGTCTTAAAATTCACACATACACATTATACTTTCATACAATTATATTTGTCTAATTTTAGTGTTTGATAGAATAAGCTGATAATAAACGAACAATGAACAATACACTTTAATGAATACATTTATTTATTGTCCATAAAGATTTTTGAACGTCTTCTTGGACAAAATTTTGCGTCGGGATAATCACATCTTTTTTTCATATTATGACGCAGCTGACGTTTTTCCTTTTTGTTTTCCAGTTCAATTGGATTCTCCAAAGATTCGCCATTCAACCACAACCATTTTGGTTTTGCACAGCAGGAAGAAAAAAAACACAATATGAAGAAAAGAACAAGGCCATATTTCAACTCTTTCATACTTTACACAACAGCCCAAGAGAAGATTTACGTCCAATTCTTCAAGTTTCAAAGTAGATTTACTGCCAGTACATCATTCCTATGGCACAGCTATATTTATACCATCAAGCATCAAGTGTTTTTAAACACAGACATCAAGCTTCTTAACAGCTTGAGTTTACTAAATGGATTCGGGCTGTTCTTAGTTTGGATAATACCTTTCAAAGTCTTTAAGCAACAAGAGAACACTTGACAGACAAAAAAATGCCGAGAACCGAAAGCCTATTACTATATGTTGCTTAATTGGTTAAATGGGTATTCAGTGTTCTATGTTTTGCCAATAATTTCGCTATTGTTTGGTTCATTTTAGACACAGCTTGAGCATAGTTATATTTTGTATCGGTGTTCAACTGCATTGAAGCATTAAGTGCTTTTATAAACTGTAGTGACAACGTGTGTTAAGTACGTAGCGTTGCCAGATGGAATAGAATCTTCTAACTTTGCAAAACAGCATTCACAAAAAATTATTATCGTAGCTTCAAATATCATGCTTGATATTTGAAGCTACGATAATAATTTTCGTTAAAACACCACATATTAAAATATGTATTGCAAGCCTTTTTCGTCAACGTATATTTCTAAAACTGATTTATATGTTTGCTCTTGTTTAGGCTACATGAATACATGGCCACAATTTGTGGCGGTTTAAATTATATTTTATGCATGTATATTGGATGTGTTTTAATCCAATCACACAACCTGCTGACAAACGTACAACCCATATACCCCCCCCTCACCCCTATTCTTTTTATTGTCACTTACGCATGTCATATGAATGTTTTATGCAGTGCGGTGTTTGAAATTAAATGAGATATGATCTTCGCACTTTAGCTGGACGATCATATCTCAATTAACTACATGTCTCGACGCTGTGTCTTATCCTGTTTCAGAGTCAAGTAAACGTCGACCGAAACAAAACGAAAGCCCGGTCGCAATCCCAGAGTTCCATTCACTCCCAAACAGCTGACGACCCTGGAAAACAAGTTTGAAACAATGAAGTACTTGACAAGTGATGAAGTTCGTAGTTTGTGTTTGGAACTGACGTTACCGGAAAACAAAATCAAAATATGGTTTCAAAATCGACGAGCAAGAGAAAAGAAAAAGTTCACAAAGCAGCGATGAATATGTTGACGTAATGACAATTGACGGGAGAACAGTTAGCTATGTATGACGACACATGCACTGAAAATTAGTTATAGTTTTATAGAGGTCTATAGTTAGAAAATCAGTTATGCAATCATAGAGTTTGCATTGTAGTAATCTTGCACAGCGTACGTTCAACAGGACCTTTATTTATTGCTGTCAATATTCAATAATGAGCATAGAATTTCATCGATGACGTCATTCGAGCATTTCCGCTTACAAAGAGAAAACACTTTGAATGCAAAGTTTCATAATGAAACACATCGTAAAACCTCAGGTTGTAACATAGGATAAAAATAAAACATACTTTTACATTTCATCATGATATCAATGTCCATTTTTGTAATAAATATAAAAAATAAATAATGCATTTAAAGTTGAGTGACTTAAAATAAGGTTTACACTGCAGGTCGATTTAAAGACTGCAACAACAAAATCAAGGTTTATGATTGGTTCAAAGTATAGTGAAGTAAAAGATGCCATAGAAATGCCGAATCTCAACAATTAGAGTTTATCGCTGTTATCTAATTGACCCAATCGGAAAATCAGTTTATATAAGGTAAGTACTAATTTAAAAATGAACACATAAAAGAGAGATTAAAAAAATGAATGCAACAGAAAAACATAGCTACCACTTCGTAATAATGCAATACCTGGATTAAAATATTTTATGCGGTTTTACTCTATGCTATTCACTGACAATTACATACATAAATTTTATCGAAAAGCAAAGTTATCTAGACGGATGGTTGTATTGAAAAATACTAAATTTATAGTAGAAAAACATAAGAAACACACCATACAGAGAGTTAAGAGGTTCAACTACCTTCCCACCCTCTCTCGCAAGAGAAGTACTGGTACCACCACTACCACCTTTCATGCGAGAGAAGTACATGCACCACCACTTATCTCCTTCGCGAGAGAAGTACATGCACCACCAATATCCCCTTTCCAGAAAGAGAAATACAAGCACCACCACCAACCTCTCTACTGCAGGAGAAGTACAAGCACCACCATCAACCTCTCTAACGCAGGAGAAATACAAGCACCACCATCAACCTCTTTAACGCAGAAGAAGTACAAGCACCACCACCAACCCTCTCCCGGAGGAGAAGTACAAGCCCACCATCAACCTTTCTCCGCAGAGAAATACAAGCACCACCACCAACCCTTCTCCCGCAAGAGAAATACAAGCACCACCACCAACCCTTCTCCCGCAAGAGAAGTACAAGCACCACCACCAACCCTTCTCCCGCAAGAGAAGTACTGTCACCTCTCCACCCTCTCATGCGAAAGAGGTACCAGCAACAGTAGCAATGACGTGAAGAGTTGAGCTCCAGTTATCTAATGCTGTAATGACGTAATACAAATTTATGACATTTTTCCATACCCCTGTATCATTAGAAACTGTGCTTTAAACTTTAAGAACGAAGCTTTGAGCTTTTAAACGTCTTCACAGGGTTTCAACAATAAAAGAAATAAAAATGTCTTATTCTTTTACAAGTCACATATTTACACAATTCTCATCAATCCTAATGTATAGTTCTATAGACAAAAATATTTTCGTAAAGAATATATTATCAATGTACAACAAAACGATATATTATCAATATCCAATAACAAAAACAATTTTACACAATTCTCATCAATCCTAATGTATAGTTCTATAGACAAAAGTATTTTAGTAAAAAATATATTATCAATGTACAACAAAACGATATATTATCAATATCCAAAAAACAAAAACAATTTTACAAAACGACACAAACATAAACTCGACATCATAAACAGTTTCAGAAAAGTTGTCAAAGAACACCTGTCATTTCTGCATATCACTTAATAACAAAAAAATTTACGCGAAATAATAAACGCACTTTGTAATGATAATTAAAAATCTTTCATTTCTGACATAGCTTTTTGTGTAGCTAATATTAAAATCGGAACTGCTGAATAATTAAATTTTACTGATGAATTTACTCCAGTTTTCACCTGTTTTTACTTAAAACAAACTAGCTAACAACTTTATCATTATGAGCTGTATATTCTAAATCCACTAAACTTTGGTTTCATTTAAAATATAAAATATGAAATAAAATTTCTGTGCAGTAGTTATAAGGTTTATGGGTCTTCGAATACAATAATTCGCTATTGCGCAAAGGAATATTTCTCATTATCCTTAAAATGAAAGTTTGGGTGTAAAACATTACACCGGAGTATAGGGAGACATAGAACGAAAACGGGATTTTCTATTTTCAAAGTTTTACTTTTATTTACAAGAGTCCTACCCGTAGAATAAACTATAATGTCAAAGGATAGTACAAAGTTTTAAACAACTTCGCCTGTTTGACTTAATTTAAACCAGCCTTCGTTCCATGTTTAGACATTTTGATTTGTTGATAACTTTCAGTCTTTCACAGCTAACTCTTTCATGCACGGACAGCTTAAATATAGAATCCTTTCAAACAGGCATATGAGCAAAAGAAACAATAACGATGAACCATAAAATGAAATTTGCACAGTTTTCTTACTTATGTATGATGAAATTTGCTTCATTTTGTGATGAAGCACAAACTTACATTGTGTGCTGAAACAATTTGCTATAGCATTTATTAGCCCATTCTTAAAATTGAACTATGTTTTGAAAATGACAAACAAGTTACATTACAACAAAGACTTTGCTAAGAATTCTCAATAACATGAGATTAGGCCCTGTAAAGCCATAACTTTTAATAACAAGAAGACATTCCATACACGAATAAAATTTATGAGTGAACATCAAGAAATATCAAAACTAGACGACTGACCACATTATGAAATAGAACTGCCAGGGTGAGACATCATTAGTCATCTATCAAGAATCTAATGATACGTCAAAACGCAAGGATGGATTTAGGATAGGGTTGCAGAGAAATATGCACCACCACCCCCAGTCTTAGATACACAAGATGGAAGTCAATTTCCCTGCAAAATACTAATTTATCAAACAATTAATGGACACACTTAACAATCGGGCCTCCTCCCCCCCTCCCACATACATTAACACACAGACACACACAAACCATCATCTCTGATCATTTCAGTGAAGACGGAAGACATTTCCTTTAATCACAATAAGAAATATGTTTGTATAACAGGAGGATGCCACTGCAGTAAGAAGATTAGTACAATCAACACGTGCACAAATTCATCTACTTTAGTGGGAAAAGATCGAGAACTATTTTCACTTAACCAGAAGAAATCATTGATTTTATTCTGAGCCAAAAATATTGACAGACAAGGAAGAAAAGAGAGCTTCAATCTGAAACTTTTATCCCATCGTTAACTAATGACATTCAAAGTGAAAGATATGAAATTTTTGAAAGACGTAGCTGTTCAGAACAATAGCGACAGACTGACAGGTATTTCAGACAAAATGCACATCAGAACACACACACACGGTTATACATTTATACATAATAAAGTCTCCCTTGAGAGAGCTTTTTGCTCTGTATTTCATGTTATAAACCTTTATTATTTGAGCAAAACTAAAATACATTTTCAGAAAATACAAGCAGCATCAGAGTAACGTCCTCAAAACCAGTGGTTTGCCAATGTTTAAGTGGTTTGCCCGTGTTTAAGTGGTTTGCCCATGATTAAGTATTTTGCCCATGTTTAAGTGGTTTTCATGTTTTGCATTTTCGCTATTCATCTATGTCAATGGGGTTCAAGAAAAATTACTCAAACAATCAAGAAACTTAGTAAGGAATTGAACTCAGTGTATCAATAATAGCTATTATATCACTCTAACGACACGTTTTTGCTTATCACAAATTCTAGCCCAGATTACAATACGCTTAAGTACGAGTGCATATATAGAAAAACAAACAAAGGTGTTTTTGGCACGCGTTTTAATAAACTAAATGCTCCATGATCAAACAAATACACGTCACACAGACTGCCAAAAATTAACGTACTTGACGTCAAATTCATGCTATCTAAACAAGAAGTATATAGATGTTTTCAAGTTGAGTGCATGATCATTTTTTAAATATATACTATAGTATAATTTTAGAATTTTGATATACATTTGTATATATAGTATAAGAGAGACAGTAGTTTATCAGTCTGTTTGACTGTTGTCTGTTACCCTCTTGAAATAAAGTTTTTGTACATACTTAAACATATATACAAGGTTAAATTATAATATCCGTTGAACTCAAAACACCTGGAGCAATATTTTTACCGCCATATTTGAATTTTAAATTCAAGAATAAAATATCTTTTTCTCTTGTGCAAATGTGACTGGATTTCTTTCGGGGAATTGCGTTTTTAACGGAACAAAAAA